AGGAGAAGTGCAGCAAGGCATTGGCTTTGAGGATACATGAATCTTACGCTAATGGTTTGTCAGTTAGTCTCTCCCCTTCTAACTCGGCAAATTCAGGCACGGACCAAAAAGGCTTCAAGGTGTCTCCTAACAGCCAAACAAAAGCCCAAGATGCAGAGAGGACACCCACAGCAAACTTTAAAAGGACATTAGAAGAATCCAACTCTGGCCCTGCCATGAAGAAGCCAAGACGTAGCCTGAGTCGAAACATTAGTGTCCAGCCAGAAGGCATGTCCGCAACTCCACAGCGCAAAAACTCAAACAAGCTGACCATGCGACGCAGCCTTCGGGGCCAGAAGAAGCTCAGCAGCTCACTCTTCCACCCACCCAGGAAGGCGGTCTGTGTTTGCTGAAGGGCGTTTGTGTAAGGAAGCGTATTTTGGTCTGATTAGATTTTAAAGTCAGTGCAGAAGTTTGACACTCTTCCTGTTTATCTTTTTTTAAAGTAGAAACTTTTTTTGGTATCAAACAGCTTTATCCCAGCCTTGTACTTGCTTGTATTATAACTGTGAATTTTGTAGATGTGTAGGGTATAAGTCACTGTATAATGTGTGTAAATTTGTATTCCTTCATATAAGTGTAGTCTCTTTTCTTCCTTGTATAATTGTTACAGCGGGCCTAAACCTTGTTTTAAAAAAAAAAAAACAAAAACAAAAAACAAATTTTTTTTGTTAATTTACTAAAGTCATGAATTTGTATAAGCTTCTGGTGATGAGAATTTCACAACTTTTTAACTAAAGTAAATTATTAAACAGATGGAAGATATGTATTTTCATAGTACTATACGTTCCACCTAAAGTGTGTCTTTTAGAGAATACACTAGGTCTATATTTTGTTTTTAAATTCTAGATTTCTCTACTCAGAAATGAAATGTAACGTGGAAGCCGAGATGTTGAGTCTTGCTTTACACAGCTCAATGTCAATTTCTTTCTGTTAATTAAAATACTATGCAGTATCTTATTTAGTTGTATTTTTTGTAACCTTAATCGTCAAAAGTATTTAGCAAAAAAGTGTGTGTTTTAAAAATCCAACCTCCGAGAGCATCCTATAAAGCCAATCCCACCCCATGTTATAAACGATGGCATTTTTATCCAGGCATAAATGTATGCCCTACAGAGGCATGATTTTTCTGCTATTCTAATAACTGATGGTGCTGCTAATACCTTTCAACCTAAGTTCTTAAATTATTTTATGACAGTTTTCATTGAATATGTGGACCATGTGTATGTTCACCTAAATAAAACAAATGAAAACTTGATGGGGGTGCTTTTTTTTTTTTTAATTTCCAGCTTAGGTTCTATTAAGCATGTTCATACTTATTTTGCCTAATACTCTCCCCTCCTTCACTGTGGCTGTTATGTTTTATGAAACAGGACATCCCACACAGTTTTGTTACAGTACAAGTCTTCAGGTTCATACTGAATGTGTTTGTTAGACAAACTGTAGCAATACATAGCCTGCCCCCTCCCCCCCCTTTTTTTGTTGTTAATGTGTAAGTATAAGGCCAATGTTTTTATTCCAATGGTGGTATTTTTAGAATCTAATCCTTTACTGCTGGAACAATAAAACATGGGTTGAATTTAGGCCTGCTAGCTATATATGTTACCATGGTTACGAAACTCCTAAAGGAAATCGCAGGCTTTCTGAAAATGTGTAATTCCCTTTCATCCAGTCAATGCAGCACTATCTTACGAGATGAAAGCAATGTTCTTCCCAAATTAGATCCTTCAAGAATTTATTTCTTTGTATATGGGATGCAACCTATGGTTAATGGTAAAATTGAAATTAGCATTGTATATGGAAAACAAAATATATATATATAGATGCTAAGAGTAGCTTATCTAGCAACAACCTTTGCAACCAACCGAGAGAGTAGTTGTTCATTTTAATTCTCAATATCTAGCCTTTTAAAAAGATGACTGCTCACGATAAAGACATAAGCATAACATATGCTTACATTTACATGACTTTCTGTATTACTCCTTATAATGTAAATACAAGGTGAAAGAAGAAAAGATGCTCTGTATATGCTGACAGTTTTTCACTCTTTTGGCTCTATACAGAAGCAAAATTTAAATTAAATTTTCATAACACTTGGATGCGTTCACATACGTGTGCCTCTTTCTCCCACGCTTCCTCACAACAGTTCTAGACTTGCGTTTCTCCAGCTGCAGGAGCAGACGTTGCTTTTCTTCTAAGAAGCTAGGGAAAAACAGAGCAATTCTTCCTGTGAAAGCTCTTAAGTGATTTTTAAGATTTTAAGTTTATACCTGGTGCAGGAGAGCTTACCTGCTGATATGAACTGGCTGCAGCTTACTTTTGCATATGCTTTGTCCACCTACACATCACTTTTCTCTGAAGTTAACGACCAAAGCTGAGAGGACAAAGCGTGAAAGTTTACAGCTAACATGCTAACAGCCCCCTTTTCACGACCAAAACCAAAAAAAAAATCACATTGAGTCATACAAAGCTTTTTATTGTGAAAGCAAGCTCGAACGCGCGCAAGAGCAAGGCTCTGCCCCCCCGACAAGGAGCTGGAAGCACGCGCCGCTTCAGCTTCATCGCCCCGTTGCGCTTTCCAAGAATAAAATAAAATAAATAATCCCTCCACGCCTTTACCCCGGGACAGCTCCGCGGGCGCCGCAGCCTGAGGCGGGAACCGACCACCCGGCGTTTTCTTCAGGGTGAGAGGGACGCGGAGCTGCTGGTCCTCTGCTGACAGCAGGCCCTTAACCCTGAGGTAAAGGCCCAGGCCCGGCGGCGCGAACCAGGCCGCAAGAGGGACAACCGTGAGGGAAACCCACCGCCACCCCTCACGGGCCGCTGGCC